TCGGGTTGCGACCAATTCGGGGTGCGACCAGAGTCACGGAACGAATTAAGTTCGTAACCCGAGGTACCACTGTATACAGTATAGATAATCTAGTCTTGGAGCATGTTGAACGTTTCCTAGATTGTAAACTAGGAAATAAATGGAAAAGGTACTCAAGTCTGCAGTCGTGTTTTTCTGGAAGGTATTTATGTCTGTATTGGATTTATGAGCTCCTTAGGTAGACATGTGGGGCAGTAATCTGGCATCTGTGTGACCGCCTTCGTAAGACACACAGTTGCATGCACACACATTTACAGGCCTATCACACTTATGCTAAACATCTTTTTCCCATGAGTCTCCAACTCACATGCACTATTGAAGATGTTTGCAAACAAGGGAAACAAGCAGGGGGTCCGGGGAAATTTCCCTTGTGGAGGAACATGAGGAGGGAATGATGGCTGCAGCCAGATGAAAACCCCACCCATTTTCTGCATGCAAAACGTCACTCTTCTCAAAGGCTTCCTTGAAGGTGGGTGAAGAACTAAACCCGTTCGCGGATGATCATACAATCCTCAGGAATCCTCCACTAGGAAACCTGATCTGTGATTGGAAATGTAAGCAGGATCTCCCCTTCTTATCAGCACATAATGCGCGGTCAGGGAGGCACCAACCTGGCTGCGACCAACTGAACCACGAAGATGCATTTTGATTTTTTTTTTTTATGTCGGCTACTGCAGGGTTCCTCAACCTTGGCGACTTTAAGACGGGTGGACTTCACTGGCTGGGGAATTCTGGGAGTTGAAGTCCACCCGTCTTAAAGTCGCCAAGGTTGAGGAACCCTGGGCTACTGCATGGAGTGAAAGGGAATTGCCAAAATGTACAGAATTTACAGATGAGGAGGGTAAAAAAAGGACCACCTGCTTAAATCTTTAATGTCTTTAATCATAAACCGCTTTAACAGGGAGGAAAAAGCAACAGAGCATAGAAACCACTATAAAGTAACAGAGATTTCAGTAACAGAGATTTCCTTCATAAAGCACAACTAGATGTTTCTCACGATCTAGAGATGACTTTCATTGCCAGGGTTAAGCGGTCCCATGGTTATTATTACCAGAACGATGCTTTCCAACCCAAGCTGCAAAAGCAGGGATCGCACATTTTCCCAACTTCCATTTGGTATAATTAATATGCAAATTAATATACAAAACAAGGAACCGTAATTCTAGGCTTGTTGAAACTGAAAAATGAACCCGTGAAGACAGCGTGCTTGCTGCGCTGAACACACAGTGTAAAATGGCTGAAGGTGGATGCCAGACAGCGTCCCTTCAAGCCGTTAAGAGAAAACAGGTTGGCCGCGAAGAGTAGCCGGAAACACGCCGGTGTTAGTTGAAACAGAAAACGAACAACTTTAATCACGGATTAAATCCACAGGTTCATTTCCAAACGTGGGGTACCCGATAGAAGACAGTCAGATCTTATACCTGATGCGAACTTGCACCGTACTCAGAGCAAACCGGGGTTTCTTTTGATAATCACTCGCAAGTCCCCAGTGCAACAACAATTTGCATCCGTCTAGGAGGACAAAATAATATGCAGAGTTTGTCCAACCTTATTGATGGATTAAACACCCATCCATAATAAACGCTGATTTATTAAAAGCTAATGGCTGAAGGGAACAAAAACTTGCTAACTAAGAAACGAGATTAGTAAAAACAGATTAAAAACTCTAACTTTGACAATTTTTGTCTATTAGAATAGGTTACTGGGTGATCGGTTTTCTTTCTTACAACATCTTTGTGGCTAGATAAAAAATAGAGTAAGGTTTCTATCCATCAACAATAATGATTCAACATCTCTTACTCATCTGAAGCTATATACTCTTTCCGTAAAATTGGATCGATCTGAACAGAAGGGCATATGCATTTAAACTAAGCATATGCATTTAAACTAAAGCAAAGCACACTAGGGCAATTAAAAGATGTTTCAGCTTTTTTTTTTAAGATAAAATACATGCCTTGTCTTCACTGTAAGTGACAATATACGCAGGATAAACCTGATGCTTCTCAAAAATGACGAAGATAGACGGGCTTAATATGTTATCCACACAGCTGTCATAAGAGTTGACCTTGTCAATCGATTTTGCTGGTGGGCGATTGTACGACGCAGACCCTGCAGTAAATTCACCAACTAGGACTTGAGCCACGAACATCATCTTCTCATTGTCGTTCGACTGGCAGTAGCTGTCTGAGTAACGGGCGTCTTTGGCAAAGTAGCTTCCTGGAAAACAGCACCGAAAAAACATTCAAAATGCTTCACACAGACAGAGCGGTTCCTCAGTTCGACCCTAACCCAACTAACCCCAGGGCGTGACTTCGCATCCAGTACACGGACGGCTGGCTCTGCTCACAGCCCACAATGTGTTCCTGCTGATGCACAGCTACTGCCTCTACTCCTCGCTTCCAACGAGTGCTGTGATGTTGCAGAGCTTAAGGTTTCGAACGGAGGCCACATCAGTGAATTCCACTCTTCAGATGAAAACTCAGATGGGAAGGAAGACGAGTTGCGTGACTTCAAGATGATGGCTTGAAGAACTTCAGATATGGGGGAGTAGTTGGCTCTTCCGGGTGCTGACAGGTGCTGACATTCTATCTGTCTGTCTGTCCGTCCGTCCATCCGTCCATCATCTATCTATCTAATCATCTATCTCTAGTCATATCTATCTATCATCTATCTAATCATCTCTCTCTCCATCTCTCTCGGATGTTCCAGCTGTTCTGGCTTACCTACAAATTCAACTTAAGGACAGATCTTGGGAATGGGACCTGTCTTAAACTGGGGACTCGGTTCCCAAGGTCTGTCCTTAAGTCGAATTTGTAGGTAAACTGAAACAGTATTATTGTATAATACTGTATAAGTAGCATTGTGTAATTAACTCGAACCATTGTATACTTAACTCAATTTAACAAATTTTGCTACAACAGGCTCCATTCTTAACTATGGGTCGTCCGTAAACTGGACGTTCTTAACCTGGGGACTACCTTTACATACATTTATTAAGGATTTTAATTACAGTAGTAAAATCTAATACAAACTAAAAGAAAAAGAAAAAGAAAGAGTGAAAGATGCAAAGAAAAAAAATGTAGAAAATGGGAAAAAAGAAAAGGATGTAGTAAAACAAAGAAAAGAAATATACAAAGAAGTGACTTCCAACCTTCATCACAAGTATAAACAATTTATGTAACTCTTCACCCCCTCTTAGTTTACAACCAATGATCTTTTCATCCCATGTCCCATCTCTTATCTATAGATAAATCCATAAAGCATCATCATTTCAGTCCTGGTGTCAGCAGAAGTCCATTAAGGGTCACCAGAAATCACAATATATCTTATTTTAACCTTGATCAAATAAACCCAACTTTATATTCCTTCCTTTTACTTTTGACAATCTTGATCCTTAGTACCTTCAAATAATGTCATAGAATTTGATTTCTTTTCATTTCTTCTTTGTCTCTTCTCACAAGATTCTTCAAAGCTTTAACGAGCCTCTTTTGTAAATCCAACAAAAAAAATTATTCAAGTTGCTCGCTTGGTTTGTTATTTGTATTTCCCTTTTGATTTTTAAAGCATCAACTGGTTTCTTTTGATGTCCAGTGAGACATCCATGTTATTCTCATAGCCTGTCATTTGTAGATCCACTTTCAGCGCCACTTGTCTTGTCAAATAAAACTTGTTCCTCATCTGCCGTTTCTTCCATAACATCGTTTGGACACAGTCTATCCATAGAAGCAAACATCGCTATTGACATTGTTGATACTAACTTCTGATTCCGTTTTTCAAAAGTGTCTTTCAGTATTTTCAATGTTGTAATGTTTTGCATCATTTTATAAGTCCCAATTAATTACCTGTTAATCAGACTTGTGTATTTTTCTCCTTTAACTAAAATCTTTAGTTCCCTCTAGTGTCCAATTTTTAAAATTACTTATCTTTATTTTGTCTTGCA